TGAACAAAAGTCCAAATATGAATCTTTTCAATTCAACCTTCACTTAGACTAATATTGGTTGACTTCTTTTGCCTTAAAAAATGTAAAAAGAGAAAGTGTGCTCTGTAAGGAATTTATCAGCTTTGTTCAATGAAAATTGAATGACACGAGTTGTTTTGTACTGGGATGGCACTTTGTAGCTGGCATTATAATGCACTGAAAGTTTGCTGCTTGGCAGAGCCATATGTGAACACATGAGCAATGCTTCCATGAGCTATAAATAGCATCCCTTAATCCTCGCATTGATCTTCATGTGCTTGCTTAAGGTTCACCTATCTATATTTGTATAGATTAATGTTGTATTTGGTTTAAAATAAAATCAGCTATTAAGACCTAAAATTTGTTATGATTTAGCAGATAGATACTAAGGATAATTGCTGTCTCCAGAGCTAAAAGTAGACACACAGACCTAGTGGCCAGTTAGTCTTCTATTTTGAAGCTGACTCTTAACAAACAAGCATTTTTGTGTCCTCGAATGTATGCTTTTGCTGGCATACTCCCAAATGCCTTCTTAGTGCTGACATCAAGACAGAACCGCTGCCATTTAGGAGACCAGAAAGAAGAGAACAACTTTCCTTTTAAAAATGCTGATTACTGACCTAGCAATGGTCTGACCAAAAAGCTGACAAATATGGGACCAGGCGTGGGCATAAGGCTGATACCTGTGATCGCAGAAAGAGTTGGCCTACCTATTTAAAAATGACCACTTAGTCAGAAATGCCTTTTGTTTCTGACATAGGAAAGTTCTAGCATGATGAAGGATCATTTTACAATTTTAAGGAAAATATATTGCTAAATATGTGAAAGGAGGCTGAAAGACTACATTTATTCTGGTGACAGCACCTTATGGACACTTCTTTCATGTAACACTTCACTTAGCAGTTATGTTGTTAAATACACTCCATACCTGCCTTAATCTTTATACTGCATTTCTGGTACATGTGTAGAGAGGGCGGCACTACGTACAGTCAAAGTCCGAGTTCTTCCTCCTTCCTCCTGCAAAAGAACATTTAAAGATTGGAAGAAATTCATCTTTTCCTGTTGTTGTTGTTTTAATTCTTTTTTCAGACTCTTTCTTTTGAACTTTGGATGCTGTTTTATCAGCAGGATAGTTTGCTGTTTGTCTTTGACTGCTTGGTTTTGAAATAAAGCCAGTTTTTGATCTGTTATAGGACATCGGTCAGTGGTTTGGGGCCATGGCATCTGAACAAGTTTTGCCCATTTGTATTCCAGAATTGGTGTCTATTATTAAAAATAGAAAAAAAAATAACAAAAGTTGTCACACTGATATTTACCCAGAGCCACAGATTTCTTCCTTGCAGAAAAGCGAATGTGCGAGGTCCTGAACCTTTCTGCTTGACGGAGGAGTGATGCTCTTTCTACAACACTGCTGTGGGAGGAAAAGGTAATTTGATGGCTTTGAGTTCCAGAAACAAGAATGCTGCAGATGTTATTTTCTCTGAAAGACTTAGACAGAAGCCAGAACATTTTGGCAAAGAGAAGCAAAGTTGGCATTAGGAGGATCAGTAGCTAATAGAAATGAAGATTTATGTAACAGAAAGGAGAGAATCCCACATGCACATGTTCCTCCTCATGAATGGAGTTGGGGGCCTCCTTGGTCAGTACAGGAAGGGAATGGCGGAGCTGGAAGGCTCCCTAGTGCTTCTTTCACAGGAAGAAAATGCATGACAAGCGCACAGACTCTGCAAAAACATTTTGGTCTGACCCTGTGGCTCTTTGAGCTGCTGCAATGCCATTTCAGGACTCTTTTCTGCTGCTTGATGCTCATAGACTGTTGCTATTTGTCTACCACACTATGTGCCTTATCAAGCACGGTACAATTATATTGCAATTAACATTATGGACACAGGAACTAAGAGGTGGATTCTGAAACATGAATCTTAAGACTGTACTGCAGCAGCTGCCTACAAACAAGCAGCCTATACATTTGAAAGGCTGAGAAGTAAACCGGCTGTGCATTGAAAGGTAGGCATTTGGAGGTGATAAATTTAGCCCTGACTCATCCAATGGCAATTTTGACACTTGGGTGGACTAAATTACTTTTAGGAGTTACATCATGTTTTTACCAGATAGTTTGATGGAGCATAGTTTAACCCATTCACATTCAGATGGCCAAATTCTAGACTCTTCTTCCTCATTCTAAATAACTGTACCAGAATGTATTTCTTTTGGAACATAGATACATCCTGAATCATCAAACTTCTTTCTTCGGAGGCAGCCACATTGATTAATCCATTTCTTAAACTGATCAAATGACATCTCAAAGCTGGACTGCTTTTTTATTTCTTACTGGAAAAGAACAGAAACACCCTTTACTAGTGACACCTAAAAGCCTGTTTCCAAAAATTAGTAAAAGTTTTTTTCATAGCTTTGTGCTTTGAAGAGTTCTTTCCTCTTCCTCATGCTAACTCCTCAAGTATTTATGAGGAGCACTTGCATGCCAGGCTCCTGAGCCTCTCCTTGATGGATGGGTGCCCCTTTCCCTGGCCACTCCTGCCGTCCTCCTCCGTGTCATTGCTGGGCGCATTCTGCAGGACAGAGGGATGGTGACATCTCTGCAGATAAGCACTTTCCCCACGGCATTAATACTTCCAGGTCTCCGCCAGGAGAAGCTTTCAGGACATGCTGCATTTTTTTCCCATGCAACACCGGCTGATGAGAGAAATCATTCCCACTCGCCAGAGCCCTGAATTTGCACATCCCATAATTTAAAGGAAAACGTTTTTCACTTCTGTTTGCCTCGCACACAGTGACTCACCCCATCCTTATTTGCCCACAGACAGCTTAGTGTTGATATACATGTACAAAAACAGCACGCTAAGCCAGGAAACACGCTGACGCACGAATCCAAAGCGATTCGTGATTTCTGTTTATTTTTCCACGTGTGAACAGAAAGGATGAGTTTATCAACAAAGCCCTTTTAAAATGAAAAACCACCACCCCAAGACACCGCCCCTTTCCAGGCAGATCCATCGCGGAGCTCCCGCACGGTCACTCAGGGACTCCCTCTGTTTCCCGCCCGGCAGCGCGGGTCGCCCGCAGGAGACACCGGGTCACGCTGCCCCGCGGGCACCTGCCCGGCCTCGCTCCGCGCTGTTCGTTAAAGCGGCCCCCGCCGCTCCGCTCCCATCCCGCCGCGGCCTGAGGCAGATTTAACCTTT